AACATATATATATAATTACATTTATGTATATATATATTCATATGTGTATGTGCATTTATATATATATATTTATTTATTTATTTATTTCTATATATATATATATATGTGTGTGTGTGTGTATTTATTTGTATATATCTATATATTAATATATTTATGTATATATGTATTTATACATATGCATTATATATATATATACATATATTGATATATATATATATATGTGTGTGTGTATATTTGTATATATATATATATATGCGTATATATACGTATGCATATACATAATATATATATATATATATTGAATACAATATATACATATACATATTCATATGCATATGTATATACATAATATACACTTTTACTATACTTCGGATGCTGCTATTCGTAGCCAAACTATAGTGCGTGCGTGTGTGCAAACGCATCTTACCAATCCTTACGATTCATACGATGTACACGCTCCTCTCCAGGTAAAACATAGGTCTGCTTCTCTTTCGGAACCACCATATGCACTGGTTCTCTATTTGCGTCATTGACGACAAACAGGACCACAACCGTGACCAAACCTACTGCTACACCAGCAATAATAGACCAACTCATATTGTTTACTTAATCACTTATTACACTCTATACGTCCAATGTCGACCGCGACTGTATATATACATTTTCAAACGTGGAAAATATATGAATTTTAATCATCCTGTTTTATCTCAAGAGATCTAAATTCCTCTTGACTTTATTATGATCACCTGATCAGTGATCACCATATAAAATCTTAAATATGAATACGAGATTGCAAATGCCATATTTAGCACAGGGGTGTGAGCATGAAAGAATTGATCAAATATCAAATATATTGTAATAATAGTATAAATAAACTTATATCAACTACCATATATCCCGATTAATTCAACGGTTAGAATGTTGTGCTTATAGGATATCCAGCGACGCAATAATCCGAGTTCGATTCTCGGATCGGGAATATCTTTATATTTTTTCTTCAGGTCTTCATAGTTAAGCACATTTATTGTGTACACACTTTTGTAATCGGCAACATTCCGTGCCATGATTTTTTAAGTCTGAATTTCAAAAACCTTGCGTGGCGACATTTTGGACCGCAGTACTGATATTATTCAGAATCGCTATATAGAATTGAACAATCAAGTATTACATATGATTTACTATCGTCTCTAGATACCACACTGTACTCCGGTGCCAGTCTCAGTGTGTAAGCATTTTAACTCAAAACAAGTCCTTTCCCTGAATTTTGTGTGACTGAGTGATCGGTGTGTTCTCCGTCTAGTCCTGAACCCGAGATGAAATTCATATTACACGTATCAAATGTTGTACCTAACGATGTTTTATATTGTATTTGTGATTTCTCGTATGTTCTCCGCTACTTACACACCTACAAAGCGATGACATTTATCATACATGAAAAATAACTTCTCGCGAATACATTTGCACTGACGCAAAATTAATTAATTCGGATATGAAATCTCCTGCAATAGCTGTATCGGAAAGCTTTTAGTGGCAAATGAACAAAAGTCACCATATACATACACAAGCGCTACACGCGCTTGCAAAGTTTATTTAATGGGATGTTACAGTTACTCTACGACCTCTACAACTTCGCTAACGAATAATTCAAACGTCTCTGACTCTTCAATCAACTCCTCGTCAGTGGCCTCTGGTTCTGGATGGAGCGCAGCCAGTCTTTCTTTGTGCTCGGCCAGTTGCTCTTCCTTCTTTTTGAGATATACTGTTAGGGAATATTTCAAATACAGGCATGCATTGGTTAGTCGATCGGCATCACACGAGACTACTCCAGATTGTTGACTATTCCATATCAAACTTTAGTACCACGAAGGCAGCAAAAGAATAGAAGTAGAAGTAAGCATCCACCCAACACCACAGTATTTTGCCACACATGTCTCAAGCTTAAACAAAAAAGAGCCCAGCACTACACGCTCACAACTATACACTGTGATACTCTATCATCCAACAGTAAATATTATTGTACTAGTTCACGACGAGCTTAATTGGAACACATCGCAAAAGAGATGGCAACTTACTCTGGAACTCCTCGTACTGCGCGCGTCTTCGATCCATGACCTCCTTTGAAGCTTTGTCGCCGCGTTGCAAATCTTCGGCGTCGAACTTTTGTGAGTAGTTCTTGACACCCCTGTGATGCCAACACACAAAGCCAGGTGGATTAGAGACAAGACCAGAACAACAAATCGACAGAAGACAATATATACCTGAAATGGTACATTATCTCTCACAATGTATAGATATAAAACAAGACAGAAGTGTCTGAGGCGCCGACGATTGATCTAGTAGACGGCGACGCAATGCAAATAGAGATCTTATAGCAAGCTACTACTGACGCGACTTTCACTTACTTCTTCTTGAGGTCTCGCAGTTCTTGCTCGGACAGTAAAGTAGGAGGACGTGGCCGCCATAGTAACTGGTAGAATTTATCAATATTGTTTCTTTGTAGATTCTTTCCTTGAAAGGACCACAGGTGGAACCCGGTCTCTAATTGGAACTTCCACGCACTCACATATGTCGCTACATACCGTCCAGTGGGGTCCCATTCGACGTGTGTGGCCATGAAGTGCTCACTCACGTTCATACACACCTTAAATGAGCATAAAAAAGCAGCCGAATTCAGCATTGGGTAATATAAGAGCGTATCATGCGATTGTATCTCAGGCTATTTGAGAGTATCATCGAGTAGTGGTAAAATATATGTAGCACATCCAGGGAGCTATCGTCTCACTCCAAATGCAAGCACAGAATTCTGCAGCATGCCGCGGAGCCTATAGTTTACGAGACCACAAGTTCACATAGCCTGAAGATAATATCAAATACTATTAAGGGGAAAATAGACGATAGCATAATTGCTTCAGACCGTAGACCTTACCATATCGTTGACGTCCCAGAACTCCAATTGTCCGTTGAAAATACCCTGGTTTCCAAGACCGGCAAGCACCACATAACGTCCCTTGGGCGACCAGAACATATTGTTTACATTTTTCTTTTCTAGCGTGTTCAATAACACGACCTTGTCATTCTTTTTAAGATCGTAAAACGACACACTTAAACTTCCAGGATCACCCTACAACAATATCAAGGTATAGATATAGATTAGCTATGAATCGGTACAGTAAAAAGCTTCTGATGTCCCATAGTATATCGTAATGCTTTAAAGAACTGAAAGTACAAATATCTTGCATAATATAAGAACCAAACAAAATTACCTGGATGAGGGCAAAGCGGCTACCACAAGGTTCCCAGGAGAAGGCTCGCACAGCGATTTGAATTTCGAGAGGTTCGACAGGGATATCCTTCTCACGCATACGGAACAGCTCGAACGTTGTGAATTTAGACTTTCCTGTATTTAGCAAGTCGAGACATAAACAGGAAAGAATCAGTAGGAGGTGAATAGCCATACAAAGCATTTTCTAATCGAAGGCTGTGGGACAGAGAGCAAAAAGGCCAAAAATAGTTCTATATATCCTAAGACTCGAGTATAGAAGATTTCCGGGCGAAATATTTACAACGCGCAAAGCAGAACGGTAAAGCGCTTTCTTGGATTATGACAAATTCTCGATCCATCGTGTAAGCGCAGAGTTAGGTCGGCGCGATTCCCCACTTCACACAAAATGTCTACAGAAGCATATGCTCGATGCTCTGATCGACAGATACCATATCAGTGTCAAAAACTACAATAAACATACACACGCGGGCCATATCTTACCAGTTTTGCTTTGTCGATCAATTTTTACGGCGAGGTAATCGCCTTTATTCTGCCAGTGAATATTACATGCCGCAACATTGAACAAATTCTTGGTCTTTACAATCTTTCTGGAGGGGAGCTCTAGGATGGTCACACGCGCTGGCTGATCTCGAATTTCCGGCGTCCAGTATGCGATTTTATTCTCTACAAAGACAGATAGATAGACCAAAATTAAGTATCCGTTCCAACAAACGATATTGGTATAAAGCAGCTGCAATACGCGAGAAAACTACAACTCCTCTTAACTTCTCTTTGGGCCATACAGATGTGTGGCTAGAACGCTAGTGCTAGTCCATACCATCAACACTCAATTCGTTACATTCAAATGTGTCACAAAGTAGCAAAACAGAGACGCATAAACTCGGGCACACGAACTATGAGCGAACTCTCCGGAACGTGCAAATAATCTTCACACGATCGAATACGTAAACACATACTTACCTGAGGGTGACCAAGCAAAGTCCCGTACGCTATCAATCGCGATACTCTTCTTGTCTAATAGCTTCATTGAGGGTAACTCGTACACCATGATTTTGTCCTCACCCAAACATGCACAGTACGAGTCATCGTGATTCCACTTGAAGTACGGCCATGTATTTAGTCCTGATGACAAAGATAGGTGACTATGGTTAACAGTGTGCTACAAGTAATACAGATGCCTAGTTAGACATAGCATTGGGAAAAATAAAAATTGACTAAGCATTACTGCCGGGTAGTTCAAAAGGCACAGCGTAAAGCTGAAAGTACACACTACCAGAAAACATGTCACTATTCTCTTATATCCTAGGAAAGGGTAACGCAATGCTTAATTTCACAGTATGAACACGGAAAAAGAAAGAGAAGAAGTAAAAAACATTTATTGAATGCAAAAAAAAAAATACTGTTCAAAGGGGTTTCACACGACACGAATCGATTGGAAGACGGTTAGAACAGTGACAGAAACAAATCAAGCACGGCAGTATTTCCCCCCAAAAAAGAAGCATACGGTCGGGACTTCCACAATCCCAAACGTGCGGATACGAAGTACATATGAGAGAAAGCACCAGAAAAGTGATACCAACCAAAAATCAAAATCAAAGGCTCGAGGACAGCCGTTTGTGAATCCTGATTGATAAGATTAGCAACCCTAGCCATACAAACGACTCGCGTGATAAAACACCAAAGTACCAATGCGCAAGTAGTCCATATCTAGGCATGCGAGAACATAGTACAGACACTGACAAGGCCATTGATATCTGTACAACAGTGTTGCTCAAACGTATAAAATAGCATACCATTTGGCAAGGGGAAACTACGGATCATTCGTCCCCTACGCAGATCCCAAATAGCTATGTTAAACGGTCCCGTAGGGTCAGCAACATCGACAGACGACCAGGTGACAAGATAATTCTCCTGAGGTGAAATCATCATGAGCTTCACATTTGGGTGCATAAAGCGCTGAACCTTGGAGAATTTGGGTCCTCCCCAAACCTGAATTCCTCGTGGATGCACGGTGGCTAGGTATGATCCCAGAGGTGACCAGTATACATAGGATTCGGTCCAGTTGGCCTGTGTGTGTTGCAGTTCGCCCTCGTCTTTGCCATTCCAGAACACCGATGTATTCACGTCGTGTCGTATGACAAACTGATCTCTGCACTTCTCATCGTGCAGCCACCACTCTTTATCAATGAAGTCAACCTTGTCCTCCTTCGATGGGGGTACAAACTCTTCTGGGACAGCCTCGTACTTGTCCATATCCGCCATGCGGACAACTTCAAATACGTGCGACTTATCCAGCTTGAATCCGTTGATTTGCTGTACTGCACGCCTGGCCTCGTCAGGGTTCGTGAATTCAACAAAGCAGAAGCCCTTCGTTTTGCCGTCACTGGCGTTGAAAGGCATGTGGATAGGGTCCACAACCTTGCCTACCTTGCCGAAAGTTTTCTTGATCACACTCAGCAGCTTTCCCATCTGTTTGAGTACAGGTTGAGAACCAGGTTAATACCAGCATTGTGCACAAGTGTTCGTGAACTAAAAAGAAAAGTGGCCAAAGACCAGCATATTCTGATAGAACTACAAGCACATGCAGACCTGTACTTCAATATTTGTGTAAAGGTCTTAATAAATTACACACACGATGTATTAGCTTCGGTTTGCCAAACCAAGGGCGTAAAGTGTTTTCATTCACTGAACTCTATTGAAACTATATCTGTTATAAATATAGCGGGATTAAACTAACCTCGTTGGAAGCGCAATATATACAATGGCATATATGGGAAATCACCATGAATCCTTAGAACTAATTTTGTCGATGAAGTATTCTTACCTTATCCCGAGGAATGATGGGACAGTTGTCCACAGCAACGATGCAGTCCAACTTGTTCTCCACCACAGGTGCATCTTCCAGCAAATCGGCAATTAATTCTATTATGTAAGAAATATGTGCATAGTAGCAATTAGATATGTGCATAGATGATAGCAGGTTAGCCTTGAGCTGGGAATAATAAAGAATCATTTGGCCAGTGGTGATCTGGATCGAGTTTCCGTACGGCATATACAGCCCGAAAACAATTTCCGGTATTTTCAGACAGTGCCTATCATTTGTAATTCAAAAATTCATAACAAAACCAGCGCTTCACTATAATCTACGCGTAGCGAATACGTGATGAGCAAGCCTCGAAGCGAATGCGTAGTTCGTAGAGAGTAATCGTTGCTATGTAACAAAAACAGTAATTCGAAACTATGAAATTTAATAATAGTAGGCCAGGAAAAGCTAGGCAACATATGATGAACAACATATTTACGTGGAATCATCAAACGATCTGGACCACCACAAGCAACAGTGGCGTTTTAATGTTCAATCTTTATAACACCCAGGACACTGTAGCTAGTTATTATTTTTAAAAGAGAAAATAAGGTACTGGTAGCCTTAACTTTAAACCTATTGTTAACATCCCAAGAATATACAAATACACGATGAAGATTTAGCACAAAACCTTTCTAGATTACGGATACTTAAAAATATTCTGATCAGTTCCTTCATAAAAAAATACATGTATTAAACAACTAAATTCACACAACTGCCCAAATTCCAGAAAATGGTACGTGGATGCACATTCCATACTAGGTCATAACATTGTCAGGATTTACATGAAAACTATGAGGGTGTTGCAAACACATCTCAACCCAGTATATACGCAAACTTTTTAGGTCATATACAGCACCCGCACATTGCATGTAGCCGACAGAAATAATTTATACTCATACAGAAAAAAGTCCAATGGAAGGTACAAGTTAGGAAGCACGTACGCACAAATAGCTACGCCAGTCTCTGACACACTTTTTATCTACAAACCCAAAAACCTCAATTTCACAACAGTATATTTATAGCTAAGTGATGGATTCCAAACAGCCACCTAATATAGCACAATTTTCGCTTTGTACAAGTATATATATACGCACAAAAATACATTCATGTACATGGCATATACAATACATCAATGCCCGACCAAAAACTCTCCCATAGAATAATTAGAGGCAGAATCTGAACATCAATAAAACCACATCAGAAAACGTACAAGGACATGTCTATGTATACAATATAAAAAAATTACGCATATGCTGATGGTACACATTCGTGCAAATATACGTTTGTCATCCCGTGGATTAGGTTCACATGCATATACGTATCACAAGGAAGACCTTTTCAAACAGTACATCCTCCCCATATGAGCAACGAGCTTACGCGTGACCTGAAGACAATCCTGCATATAAACGGTAACGTTATATATGTATTCACAACCACCTTCCGTCCCGGACACGCTCTCACGCAGCCATATATATAAATAACAAAGTAAGTGATGTATACTGTAGTGGCATAAAACTCCACGTGTAATAGACGCATGAGCAAGATATACAAATAATACAAGCAAATATGACTTGACATTCACCAGAACTTTTGTGAATTGACACGATATATGCATGAACGACAAACTCGAATAGTATTATACGTCACATTCTATTCTACGATCATACAGCAAAGCCACGAGTATAAACGGGCGTGTAAACATGGATAAATAAATTTCATTCATAAGCAACAATATGAATACAACTAACTTAAGTCAGATGCACACAAGGAATAGAGCACACACTCAGAATCAAACAAATTCAGGTAATGTTTCAGATGTGCATAAATGTAAGCCACGCAAACGAACAAGAGTAGTCACGAAAATAGTCGCATACACACACATAAAGAGTGAAGCATGCTACCACGTACAGATAGTTGCATTTAAAGGGAGGCACATGTAGACAATCATCATAAAAAAAGCCGTAGACAGCCCTATTCACCAATGCTCGCAGTTTACGAGTGTCAGTACAAAATTTATACAGACAATATAGACAGATTGCACATTCTACATTGTACAATAATATAATTTTCAAACACAATCTCCTTAAACAAAATGTGCAACAAACGGTTTCAAGTTTGCGTTCCATATATATATAAATATATATATATATATACATTCACAGAAAAACGAACACACACATATATACATGAAAACAGACCCGCAAACACAGACACATATATATAAATACGTAAGTGTATACGTATACAGTACACACAGGAACACACACACACATATATATAAATAGTCTATATATATATATATATATACACATGTAAATACATATATAAACACACACACACACATATATATTAATAACATAACATCTAAACAAGTGCACATTAACATTATGATCAAGCATTGGTTTAGACATAAGACATTAAGCACATATTAAGCTTCACTTTTAGGAGACGAAATATTGGCCGTAGCTCGTTAGATTGAAGTCAAGTAAACGATATTTTGTTTGAGATCACCAAACCACATCTACAATAAATGCCTACATACCCTCATCAGGGATCTCCTCCTCCTCCTCCTCACTGTAATCGTATTCATCTTCAATACTACCCGGCATCTTCAAATAATCTATGTGACTGCGCGTGCGTTTGCTTTGAAATATACTTGTATATGCCTGCTTTTGCGTTGTTAGTATACACCTACATCAGTTTGCTGAGCTTGTTTTGCCGCGTATTCGTCTTCTTGCGGGTATCGGTAGGTTTGTATCTTATCTTTTTTCTCCGTGGCTCGTGGGACGTGGGCTGCTCCGTAAATTGGCATATTTTGTAGGGTCCCGTTGCCACATGGAATTTGGCTTGCGTTCTATTTATAGTTCAAATTGTACCGGTATGAACTATTCTAATTTACGGGACTCTAATTTGAGATTTCTCGAATCATCACGCCTGGAATATGACTCCAATATATCAATTATGGACTACTATTGATTCTAAGAACATATAATAATTTCATATCTTTGATTTTACTGGTAAACAGTCACTCCAACGTTTTATAATCTTAAAATATACTGGGTACTATCCTGAGTAGAGCCTCCCAGTAGTCAACCTTTTGCCCAGTAAGTGTCCATATATCAATAAAAGGCGGGAGGTTTCAGGTTATCTTTAAATCTGGCGGTTCACTCCTCCTGGAGTCCGGGCCTTGGGTTGGGCCCGTGACTGTGAGTGTGAACTGTGAAGTTGTGAAGTTGTGATCAAATGACGCATCATTCATCATAGCCCTCCAAATTGACAATTGATAGCCTTCTGTAATCAAACAACAAGAAGGCTATTTATGCATCATTGTTCATAGCCTTCTTCTGAAAACAAAAACCAGAAGGTTCTGATAAAAGAACAATGTTCAATATTCAGAAGGCTATGCATTGTTGTGTTTGATAAATAAATAAAACATGATTCTCGAAATAGGCGCGTAGTCCCGTTTATTTCTTTAAGCAGTGAGGTATAGATTGTTTGTTTAAAAAACAACTCGTGAATATGGACTATATTATTATCTTACAATACCCCTGATCGACAAGAATAGTTATATAGTGTCCTATAAGATATGCAATAATCTTTTAAATTCTTTCATACACATTTTGTCTTGATAATATTATAGCGTCGGTTAATACATTGTTATGATATCTTATACTAGAAGTGGATGACGAAGTGATTTTATATATATCGAGCACAGTTGGTGAAATGGATCCGCAGATTCGTTTTCGTTGCTTCTTAGAAGGTATTCAAGTACTAGATATCGAGAAGCCACTAAAATATATTTATCCTCTGCAATAACGATTTCGTGGTATCCACACAAGGTTTCCAAAATGCGAATACAATAAATATACATACGAAGTCCGGGATGAGTTTGTTCTTATATCGAATATATCATCAGCCACAGTATCATATTAATTATTACGGAGCTCTACATACACATTTTTTTTCCGCGCTAAAGAACTCGCAGTACTTGCACAAGTAAGCCAAAATAGTGCGGATGCAATAAAAGTTTATGAGGGTTATTCACGTGACATCACCTCTAGATGTTGATACTTTCAGTGCTTGACCTGACGAGTAGCAGTAAACGCCGATCAACCAACAGCTCACAGTGAGGATAGGATACGACAACACATAGGCAAGGGCACTATGTAAATGATGAACAATACGTTAATAGAGGCAGCCAAGCCCAAACTTCAAGTTCCTTCAATCTAATTCCCTGCGAAAACAATTACCCAACCACCGATAGTAGTGGCCACGGAAACACTATTACGATTCAAATAACTATTCATGATGCCAGACTGCCAGAGTAAAACGGATCAATTTAAGTCAAGAGGAAATATTGAAGTAGTATTTAGGGATACTTTTTCGTTATAGACATAGCCCGGCAACCAGGTCAAATTATTTGGTTTTTTATTAAAAACAACATCAAATCCTTCATCCAAGTTGCATACGCCATCGACGTATAACCTGTCATTGCTGCATTCAACACAAACTCCAACAACAAACTCGAATAACATCCGTGTAATACAGCCTCCCTAGCAATGAAAAATTCGAAACGTTGATCAGTTAATTTTATTATTGTTCACTTCGAGTTCTGTGCTCTCGTATTCGACCTCTCTCATACAGCATACGAGCTAACCGTTCGTGGTGTGGGGGATGGTCCTTCCACCATCGCATAGTCGACTGTTGTTGGATTGTGCTGCCTGGACGCACACTCGCTTCGAACTCCAAGCGATCGCGCCAGAAAGCTATGCCTCCATCGACGTACCCCGCCTGCAATACGACATATCGTTATCAATAAGCAAGGGTACAGATTTATGTGGATAACTGCATAGTCAGACGAAGCCAATCAATACTAGACAGCATTTACAGCGCAGGGATGAGCGCGAGACACTACGCTTTTCTTTCTCACAACTGTGATTTCCACCCGGATAGGGAGGGAAAAATACGTCCTTGCTAGCTCCGAAAGTGCGACACAAAATTTCTATGGTACGCTATAAAACCACGAATACAGGCTCTGACGATAGTAAGAATATGCAGGGAAAAACAACAAACAAGACCACATCAAATTGTTCTTGTTTCATACCTTTGCAGCTTGAACATCCGCGTTGGTCTCTTGTATCCTTGTCAGTGCTTTGAGACCAAAGAATAGTGGAACTATACCCACCGTGGCCAGCCACACGCCGAACTTGATAGGAATCTTTTGCCTATAACAATACTGTGGTACAGCAAAGATCGATGCTACTGCGAGAAACTGTGCACTCCATCTGCATTTCCGAGTCAGATTATTTAGGAAGAGGGTCATTTCAGGATAAGTTGACTAGTAAAATTACAATACGTGTTTGTGACCGTATAGACAATATCAGAAATAGTTGAAAGCGCACTAGTACGGACAACATAGGATTTGTACGAAGGTATTTAGAACCGCAACTGTATATTTCCTCCTAACTAGGTATACGGTGTTTTTCATGCGCTACATTGGCAAGGATATGAGCTAGGAGGATAAGTGTATTCACATATTGTTAATTCATGGGATGCTGCATACAGATATCACGTCCAAGTATCAACGAAGTACGCTTGTAAACACTGATAGTTCAAATAAGAAACAGTGCCAACAGGACCACTCACAAATAAAATAGAGGCCTGTCACGTAACATACCTTACCAAGAAATCTTCGCTTTGCAGGTGACTGATCTCATGAGCAATCACAAACTTCGCAGAATCTGCCATAACCTGATTAGAATAATCAATTCAAATTTCAGCAATAGCTTTTATAAACACTTCCAACGCGTATACACACCGTATTGGGTTGACACACAAATACTTTTAGTTTCGAGCACTATAAACCTTTCAGATGAATTCTATTTGTGATTTTTGTAGATAAATTGATATTTAAATGCAAGTCAGTTATAATCGCATCTTCAAGAAGGAAAGGTGTATAAATTGTCCATCCCACTGTGATTCTGCATATATTGCGGCCCCACTTTTTCATTCCATCGCATATACATCCACAGCACAAGCAAAGATGAATCTGAGCATCGAACACCATCACCCTTGACAGCGATTAGCATTCACCGGGAAAACAATATTCGGACCTCATCGAAACCCATTGATACGAATTAGGTTTACGGAAGGTAGATACCAACCACAGACATGGGGTTACTATGATATATGATAGCAGAAAAGATCATCTGATGTCGCCAATACAGAGAGGTCCGTGGACATGAAATTTTCATGGTTCCAGACTTGATTGTGTGCCTTCAAGCATTTGGTTCCATATAGGAGAGATGGTGAGGCAAAAGAACCGCAGCACCTGATGACTGTCAATCGCTGCAACGCGTGCGAGTACAAATATGCGTACAATGTACCTATTTCCATACCAGTTTGGTTTGGGACCGAGGGAACTCTTCTATTTGTGGAGTGGTGGTGAGGTAAAGATTCCGCGATCGATCAAGCATACAATTGTACACCATCGCACTTGGCACAATCAAGTATCCATTCTGATTTCGGTTTCAAAAGGAAGAAAAGATTAGTAAGAATATCCATTTCTCACATCAGCAACATGGATACTAAGACAAAATAGCATTTGGCATATTGATCTTTAAAACGAAGTCATACGTATATACATAACCGTCGCGAATCCAGCCTACAGTATGATAGGGGTCAGGTTAGTTTTTCCAAAACACCTGAGCTTTGAATATCCAGAAATAACTTGAGTGGAGCGAGGTCAAATTAGGTTGCAAATGCCAACGGCTAAATCTATGAGCTGCAAGCACATACTTATACTGGTGATAAAGTTGCCTTGTTTCCCAGACCTCGACTTAATCGAGGCCATTGCCGGTAAGCCATCACTGTATCCAGCATGTGACTGTCAAACACATACGTCTCATTTCTATGTCAGTATGCTAATAGTATCGATACTCACAAGTTCTTCCAGACATGTTCAAGCGCATATATAGATTTGATTAACAATGCACTCGTAGAGAAATCGGCAGAAATGCGTTGATATGCATATTGCATAAAATAAAGACAGACAGGAATGATACACAATTATAACCCCATACAGAGAAAGATACGCGTACGACCCACCTCAGCAGCAAAGCATCCACAAGCCCATTGAAGCTTACCATAGTGGGGATAGCCCTACACCCGGCGGAAGCCGGCTGGTCCTTATTGTTTGAGATAATCAATCGGATCCTGTCTAAGGACATATCCATGGATTTGGCTATACCTTGAATCTCTTCTACGAACTCAAACGGAACGGGGACCACCTGTGTATTTTAGAACAAAGTAACATTAACCTGAATGTGTGTTCATACTATTCTATGGAAGAAGCTCAGAAGAGACTACCACATATAATGACCTATCACCACGGGTGCTATACTATACACGTTCGCAAATATCGTAGCTTACATGGTAGCATACTTTTGCTGTTTATGTGACTTCACACAGCTCCTAACGAAACCAGTGTAGCACGTCATCATTACAATAATATAACAAGTAGTGCGAGACAGAAAATAACTACACTACCTTGCCATTTCTGTGGTCCCTAGTCATTTGCCCGAGATCGCCCATGTCTTCTCCTTTAACTTCCTCCACAAGACTTTCTGATATTTTCTTGTCCACGATTTGAGAAGCAGGAACACCTGCACGGGGAGTATACAAGGTGCTGCTTATTATAGACATAACTGGTATACTGCGAGATTGTGATGTCACCGCAACCGTTTGGTGATAAGCAGCAATGCGAACAAAATTAGATTTCTACCTCTAGCCTGAGACAAATATAACAAGGACCCCCGTTATACTATTGACAAACAGCATGTAAATTATGGAAAACCTAACCTACCACTATAGCCTATTTCTTTGTGCCAAAACGAGTTTATGAAGTACGCGTCCTAACTTTTCTTTTTTTCTTCAACAGATTTTGGCCTGCGGCTAGATCGGTTTAAAACGGATCCAATTTGTATAAATAGTTTGCTGCCATATAACTATACATATTAGCAACGTACAACTTTATTCCTTCTCGGCAACTCATATTGCCTACGCGGACGAGCAAACATATGCTATAGAACATGAAATGGTTACAGAAATCATATGCGTAAACATTATCTTCGGTCCCTATAGTACAGGCAGGTATGGCTTCAAGCCGTGAAATATGGATCAGATATGCAAGCGAAGATGTGATTCAGCGTTTCGCAATG